CAGGGGGCTTCCACCAGCTTTAGGGGACAGCCTCCGCCGCATTTGGGCGGCCTTTTTGGGGGGGTCAGGCCCTTTTTCCAGCGGGGTCGGGGGGCACCCTTGCCAGCGCATTGGCCCGCCTCAGGCGACAGGTCATTGTCGGAGCGCCTTCTCCACGGCGTCGGCGGCAGCTTCGGCCGCCTCGCCGCCTCCTCGGGCGTCAGGCCCTTCTCCAGCGCGTTAGCGGCAGCCTCCGCAGCCGCATCGGCCGCCTCAGGCGACAGGTCGTCGTCGAGCGCCTTCTCCACGGCGTCTGCGGCAGCCTCCGCCGCCTCGGCCGCCTCCTCGGGCGTCAGGCCCTTCTCCAGCGCGTCGGCGGCAGCCTCTGCAGCCGCATCGGCCGCCTCAGGCGACAGGTCATCGTCGAGCGCCTTCTCCACGGCGTCTGCGGCAGCCTCCGCCGCCTCGGCCGCCTCCTCGGGCGTCAGGCCCTTCTCCAGCGCGTCAGCGGCGGCCTCCGCAGCCGCATCGGCCGCCTCAGGCGACAGGTCGTCGTCGAGCGCCTTCTCCACGGCGTCTGCGGCAGCCTCCGCCGCCTCGGCCGCCTCCTCGGGCGTCAGGCCCTTCTCCAGCGCGTCGGTGGCAGCCTCTGCAGCCGCATCGGCCGCCTCAGGCGACAGGTCATCGTCGAGCGCCTTCTCCACGGCGTCGGCGGCAGCCTCCGCCGCCTCGGCCGCCTCCTCGGGCGTCAGGCCCTTCTCCAGCGCGTCGGCGGCAGCCTCTGCAGCCGCATCGGCCGCCTCAGGCGACAGGTCGTCGTCGAGCGCCTTCTCCACGGCGTCTGCGGCAGCCTCCGCCGCCTCGGCCGCCTCCTCGGGCGGCAGGCCCTTCTCCAGCGCGTCGGCGGCAGCCTCCGCAGCCGCATCGGCCGCCTCAGGCGACAGGTCATCGTCGAGCGCCTTCTCCACGGCGTCTGCGGCAGCCTCTGCCGCCTCGGCCGCCTCCTCGGGCGTCAGGCCCTTCTCCAGCGCGTCAGCGGCGGCCTCCGCAGCCGCATCGGCCGCCTCAGGCGACAAGTCGTCGTCGAGCGCCTTCTCCACGGCGTCTGCGGCAGCCTCCGCCGCCTCGGCCGCCTCCTCGGGCGTCAGGCCCTTCTCCAGCGCGTCGGCGGCAGCCTCTGCAGCCGCATCGGCCGCCTCAGGCGACAGGTCATCGTCGAGCGCCTTCTCCACGTGCCCGCCGCCTCTCCAGCGGCGGCCGCCTCCTCGGGCGACTTGCCCGCAAGAATGGCTTCGCCCGCCGACTTGCCAGCCGCATCCGCTGCGTCGGGTGACAAGCCGTCGTCGAGCGCCTTCTGAGCCGCCTTGCCCGCAGCCTTGCCGGCCGCCGCTGCCTCAGTGGGCGATCTGCCGGCAATGATTGCGTCGCCTGCTGCCTTGCCAGCGGCATCGGCAGCGTCGGGCGAAAGGCCATCGTCGAGGGCGGCTTGCGTGGCCTTACCCGCCGCCTCACCCGCTGCCGCCGCCTCCTCGGGGCTCTTGCCGGCGAGGATGGCATCCGCTGCCGCCTCGCCAGCTGCATCAATAGCGTCGGGCAAGAGTCCCTCATCGACGGCCGCCTGGGCCGCCTTGCCACGAAAGAGTGCAAGTCGCGCATGCTTTTGCGTAACGGTCTCGCTTCTTTTCCACGTTGTAAAACGCTCAGCACCTGGACGAGGTCACATGGACCACCAAGAACTGGCACGGGCTGCAGATGCAGTGCTTGTCTGTCGTCCTCCACACCGCCGTGGCGTGGCAGACGGTGAACGAGCTAGCGTGCGGGGAGAGCGGCATTGTGCATGGTGCGGAGTGCATTGCCGTTCTTAACGGAGTCGCTTAGGCGGCTCCGGTGGTGAGCCTGTGTGTGTGCCAGTCCGCGCCAGTCTGCGCCCTTGTCGTGCCAGTGTGCTGTGAGAGAGGCTTGTATCCTAAGAATTCTTTCGCGTGTGAGGGAGTACTATCGGGTCGCCATGCGCGCGCCCCAGAGCACGCCTCGCGCCACCGCTGTAAGCCGCCCGACGACCGGGCTACACGCCGGCGCAACTTCTCCATCCGAGGGCGTCGAGCTGGGGACAGGGTGTGGGGTCGGTCGATCGGAGAGCGCGCCGGGCCCTCGCCGCGATTCAGAGCCGCGAGGCTACACAAGGCTCCTCGCGGATAAGCGCGAGGGCGTCTGGCTGACGGAGCGCAACCCAGGCCGGCAGGCTCCAGCAGGTGGGCGCGCTAATGCATTCGCGGACCGCAAGGGCCCAGGAGCAG